CTTTGGTTAAGTTTGCGTGCCTTTGAAACAACCCCTACCCAATTCCGCGTTCACCAGCAGCCAAATCGCCAGCTGAGACTTTAGCCTTAACCTCAGAAGAGAGGCGCCTTTCTCCGCGTGTCTGTTCCCCTGCTAGAAATACGTCTAAATCGCGACTGCTAAAGACGAAGCTCTTCAGAGATCAGCGAAGCCTCTGATTGGCTGTCTATTGAGTAATTTTGAATTTCTACGCGGAAGTAACAGTCAATCAGACTCAACACGGATTTTTTCAGTTTTATGTCATCAAGCAGCGGATAAAATGCGCATGCGAAGAGACAGACGTTCGTTTATTCAAGCTTGGCTGTTATTGGCAGATAAACTGGATATGGCAGGGGAGCTTGAAAGAGAAAGAACATTCGTGTTTGGGCAAACAGAGAGAGGAAGAGTTTGGCTAAAGAAGAATTGAAAATATCTTAATTGACCTCTCACCCTATAGGCTTTTGAAGGCCTATGTATAAAATGCAGAAGCACACTGAAAAAGAACATGGCCTGATTAATCCTATATATTCCTTACTGGCATAGGATAGATCCTTGTTAGTATGATCGCCATTTATTAACGAGATTATTTGCTTGCCTCTAATACAGGCTGCCATTGGTTCTGTGTCGTTAGATATGGCACGGCAGAAAGGCTTAACGGGACAGATTGAGGAAGAGTTTGGAATTCAGGTATTACTACCCGGTATAAACTGTTTTTGAAAATTGAAAGAATTGTCTCTTGTTAGCTCACGCTTTGTACGTGAACGAACAAGTACAATTTTATACCTGCTCTCTTATAACCTGCTGAGGGATTTTAACGCATTCCAGGGACTTCCGAAGAGCTTGCGAAGCCTTGAGTTGGTAACAGGATGCACAAGCAGTCATACGGATGATCAATTGCTTGTTTTATTATTCTTGTTGAAAACTGATATATCTTTGGAAATCGTTGTCTTCAATTTATGGTCCGATTTCTCAAGTACAAGGAGAATTTTAAATCGTGTTTCTCTTAACGTTTGGAAAGTTCTTCGTGGTACGTAAGGCAAAAAACTACATTTCTTAAAGGTTCAAGAAGTGAGGTTGTACGACTTTGCACAACAGGCCAAAATTAATATTTTGGGTTTACAAGGTCGAAATTTTGTATTTCGCCTTTTTGTTACCATAAATATTTTGAATCGAACTCATTTGGTCATAAATAGAGAGATAGAAAACTTGCATCAGGTTGATACAAGCCAGATTGACAAAACTAAACGAAAACGCATTGTGTAACTCTGTTAAAGTGTTTCTTTAGAGTTATTAAAACAAAAGTGGAAGGTTTGGGAGAACGAGAAATTCCACAGTTGTTTTTTTCGACTTTCCTCGAGCGAGTGTTTCAATCAAACAATGTTAGACTACGAGCCCGAGTTTTCTATGAGAGAATAGTCAACGAGGTGCAGCCGAGAGTGGATAGTGAGTAGCGTAGCCAATCAGAAAACGACATTCTCGTCATAGAACGTTAATTAACAATTAGATTATGAGCTCGGGAATTCTATCGCATGATAGTTGACGAGGGCGCAGCCCGGGTCAACCATTTACGCCTAGAAATCGACAGCGAATAATCTAATTGTTTTAGTATAAATCTACTAGTCGTTCAAATCTTTCATCTAAATCCTCTGCACAGACACTTCCAAAACGCGAAGAATTTAAGTGCCCGCTAGTTTATTAACAAGCGCTCACTGCTACCCTCTCACTATGTAGAACAGAAAAGATAACGGGTAGCGTCGCCAATCAGAGAACGCCATTCGTGAATAGAACGCTAGTATATTTATACTATCAGCAGATAGAAAACCGTAACGGAGCCAATCAAATTCATGGATTCACAATAGACTACCGGCGGTAAATTTACCCTAAACCTCGATAGAAACACGGAGAAGAGTGTACACTTTCTCACAGGGTATTTTCTAAACATATAAAACAGATTCTGACCATTGCTGTGCTGGGAATTCTTATCACTTCGCCCATTGGAGCCATAGGAATCGTTTTGGCTGGACCAAGAATGTTAGAACGCAGTCCTCCTCCAGTAGTAGAAATAGATGGCATTCTCAAGGACTCTGCAGAATCTTCTCAAAAACCAGAGAGTCCATTGTTAGAAAGTACAGTCTGAGACTGGTAATTTATTTGATGACTCAAATATATGAATATGTAAGAAGTATATTCGCGACTATACGCTATTGGTTATGTATAATGACTTATAAAAAGTAACAAAAAAATATCGATTTTCTTTTTCTTTCATCCCAGATATATTTAATACACAGTATTGGTGATTTACTTCACACGGTTGAAGACTTATGAAGAAAAAAAGTCTCATCTTCGTTTACTAAGAAAAACGAACTATTCAAATGTATGCGATTATTTTGCATTTGTCGTATTCCATTTAACATGCAAAAAATGTTCCCCTTCTAAAGAAGGAATTATCTTCTACTATAGCTATAAGCTTTTCGCGTCATATTGCTATGACTCTAAACGTATGGATAATAATGATCTTAAGATAAATCGTTCATAACAATAAAGAGAGTAATAAAATTTCTAATTATATCGTATATGCAATGTTGTTGACATTTTTAAAAAGTAGTAAAAAACGTTCTCTGGTTTAAAAGATTAAAAGATAAGCTTTCGACTATCAGTCTACAGCCTTTAACGAAAGCCATACACTGATAGCCGAAAGCTTATGTTTTAATCTTTTTAACCAGAGAGTGCTTATTACTATACTTTTATAAAATATCTCCTATTCTAGTTACAGCTCTATTATTACTCGTTGTTGTCATTGTTCAGTAGATAGAGCGTTCGTTCTTTGCTCTGCGGTCATATGACTCCCGAACTCGTAAGTAGTAAAGCTTTATTACATAGGCCCTTCCGGTTGAAACAGAAATTCTCCATACTAGATACCATATACTCCTTTAGTGCTAGCTAGTTCCAAGGATCACGACACATCTGTGTGATAAAACGAGTTCTCAGTGCAACCGTGCCTTGGTAAAGTATGGAAGAGTGCCTTTCTACGCTACAAAACAAAATGTCAATTGTCTCAAGCGTAGTTATTAACGATCACATTATCGAAGTTATCGCCCTGAAACTCTAAACGTGCTCCTGGTTTTATAGACTGCTGATTGTTAGGTACAACAGCTTCAAGACGTATTTTTTTCAGGGCTGGCGTGGTAGGTTGTGTCTCGGACAATACCGACACCTGAATATTAAATAACATAACCTCCTTGATATTTACGGTATCTGACTGCGCTATGGCTGTCACGGTCAACTTCTCAAGCTGGTTGGTGTCACCGCGTGACGCAATAACCACGTGACCAGCGGCACTGGCGTTGGCATCGAGAGCAAGGCTAAAGGGAATAACGTAACTGATGAATGAAGACGTTTTAGTCACGCGGAACGAGAACGACCCTCTGGAGCCGAGGTTGGTGAGTGTAAAAGGAACCTTGGTGGTTTCTCTACTACGCAGGGACACAGCTGTGGTATTCGGTTTGGCACCAAAAGATACCATATCGGGGACAAGGCGTACAGAGCAAGTTCCCATGTTTCCCACGAGGTCGAGACCGACGAAAATAACTTTAGGATGGCAACAGTTGGATTTAAATGATGCTTGGACTGACGTATTGACCGCACCTTTGTTGAAAGCTCTAACTGAAAGAAACACAAGAACAGATAGAATATTAACAGAGGCAAGCAATAGAGAACAGTTCAGGTCATCACTTAAAGGTTCTCTCACTATTTATCTTATAACAGATACAATCTTTAAATTCTACGTCAGAGAGCGACGAAATAACAAGAATCGATACAAACGCTGTAAAGCTAGTGGTGAGAATCGCAGAGAGTGAAGAAAGACGGGAAGTCTGCGGGAGGCGGAGTAAGAGCGGACCGAAGGCGGTTCCCAAGATGGCTGGAACTGTGAAAAAGAGGGAAAGATTGACACATTGCGTAATATTTTGGAATAGAAGAAGCAAGAATATCCACGAAGGAAGGGGCGAAAACCAGGTGCAGGAGGCGGTAACTTCAGACCCCTTCGTCTTCATGCCACTCGCCGCCAGAAAGTGTTTCTACATACCTATGAGAGTTCCATTACGATTTTCTCGTGAAGTAATTGACAAAAGTCCTTCTCCGGTGTCAGTGAACGAGACATGTGCAAACCACATGCTTGACACGCACTCCGGTCTACCGTACACTCCTGCGCATGATCCAGTCTGGTTTGTCACGATACACAATGGTGGAGAGAGATCTGAGTCCTGTTGATTATAAACATAGATTACATTTGGAACAATTAAGGAAGAGGGCTTCTTTTCCTCGCCACATAAATGTACTTGTTTATCAATTTTAACAGTATCTTACGCGGCATCTTAACCTTGTTTGGATCGAGTCATTTCATTTTTTGACAGTGGTACCTGACTGAGGGGAGAATCCGAACACGAAATGTATTATACTTCATGATTTTCTTCCACAATCCTCCCCGCTCCCTCTCTTTTTTTCTATTCATACCTCGTGTTTTTTCATCCATGGTTTTCTGTTGTGTTGTATTTATATTAAGGTGATTCTACTTAAAAAGATCAGGCATTGAAAAATTTCTCAAACTTAATCCAGTTGGTAATCATGTTATGTATATCAGAAAAATGCAATAAAAAAATAGGGGTCACCGTGCTCGTTTTTAAACAACATGGATGGCCTTTATAGCACCTTTCCAACCGACGAGGTTGCCATTACTTAACCTTAGTTGGCAGAAATTCTAAGAAAAGCACTTACTGGATTAATTTATTAGAGAAGTTAAACAAATAGACCCTGAACTTACATTTTAAACCATGTAAGTTAAACAGGAATTACGATTATATTACAAACTTAAGAATTCTCTGCGTGCGCACATACCCAGCACAACCTAAAGACGAGTTCTTTACAGCATTAAAATCAAAATATTTTTCAGCAAAATTTTAAACTTTTCTTCAATCCGAGATATTGTGGATATAATAACCGCGTGTAATTTAAATTCATGCATGAAAAAGTAGGGGTCACCGAGCTCGTTTAAGAGAAAACGACCATTTATTTCGCTGTTGAGCTTAGAGGGAAATCTCTCACGTTGTGTACGCGCACGTGCTCATGTGCTCGCACTGATGACGCGAAATTCGTGCGCATTAGGGATGCGCAATGCAATACTGAGGAATCACCTTAACATAAAAGATTGCTTAAGAATCTTACGTAGTTCTACTGTCAAACAATTTAATGCAAGAGGTTTAAATTACCACCCTTTCGTATTTTTTTCTATCCCGTTCCAGTTTAATAACGTACCTTTGAGGCAACAGTAACAAACAAAACCATGAAAGTAACAACTTGGGTGTGGTCAGAATTCTGAGATGCGAATACCGTAACGGTGCTTGTCACGCCATAAGTTGCGTGACTGGGAGCAAGCAGGGTCACCCGAAGAGTAAGCGTGTCATTCTTTCCCAAGGTGCTTCGGTCCGGACTTATGCTCTTAAAGTAATTCAGATCATCCGATGCTTTGAAATATAATGTCTGCGTATCCCCAGAGTTTTCAACTTTGATTTCCAACTCCAAAGTTTCTCCTGGGAAGATGGCGTTTGAATTGTTGCGGCTATCGAGCTTTACATCGCCAAGTGTGAATAAAGTTGGTTTAACGCGTTGAAAGCGAGCTCCACTCTTGTCAAATCCTGTAACTTTGAGTCGGAATCTGTCTGGAGATGGAATAAACGTGACGTAATAGGAATCTTGGTAAAACCCTTCTCCTTGAGTTATGTTAAAGGTTTCGAGATCTGTTCCATCAACACCAACAAGAGTCAAATTGCTAACAGCGTCAATGTCTTGGCCAACGAAGTTCAACGTGAGCAACAGCATTTGTCCTGCAATGAGTTAGGAAAATATTCTTATCACGAAGAAGATAGATGACATATCATTTGTTTTGCTACATTTTCCCCTTGTTTTCAGATTCGTTCATTCGTTCATTCGTTCATTCTCTCCTTCACTGTTATTATCTTCATCCATTGATTTATTGTAGATTCCTTATACGATGGTGGACAATAATGACAACACGAAGCATTATTTGCTGTAAGGGAAATAGAGTCATAAACTTGTCAACACATTACTTTACCTCTCAAGGGATTTCCAACAACCCGCCTTGTTGTCCCTCGTTCCATGTCCTCCACGTCCAAAAGTTGGTACGTAAAGTCGATAGGACTGGACCCAGTAACTTGTAGAGTGTACGGACCATTACAAGAAACTGTCAGTTTCAGGGAGCCGCTGACCAAGTTAGTAACTTCTTTTATGAGAAGTTTACTGGAACTGCTTATTACGTTTTCGTGCATGTTTGAGCTTCCTTCGAAGGAATCAATGTACCATTCTTAGATGTTATATGAACTATAGGACACAGTATATAAAAAGAATCATTTTGTTTTTGGTTGTTGTTGTTGTTGTTATTGTTGTTGTTGTTTTCAAATCAAACCAAGATGACATGGTCTACCTTGTGTTCTAGGGAATGCCCCCTGAGAACGGATTCCTTGGAGGGGGAATGGTAGCAAGGCTCCATCTCCAAGTTTTCAATCCTCAATTTCAGTTATTATGCCTACTTCCTGATGGGTTCATATCAGTTACCAAGAATTACATATCATTTGTTCGGCTTTCAACAAACTAAGCAATTTTATTTACTAACTCGACTTCATGCAAACAAAACGATGGCGTTATCCATTTCGCTTACCTTGAACGCTCGTGATCTGCAATCCAAGTGAACTTGCTGCCGTGAGTATGAGGACCAAACTCTCCAGCGTGTTGTCGACATTTACAAAGTATATGTCACCACTAAAGTACTGCTCTCGAAATTCCTCAACGTTTAGCAATCCAACTTCTTTCAAATCTGCAGAGGAGTTTGAGAAACCTACAGGATCGATAACCTTGACAACATCAGCTACTGCAGCCTTACTAGTTTCCAGTACTTGTCCTCCTGTTTGGGTAGCGAGGTCCTGGTACAACGCTTGACCTTGGGCAGTTCTCCTAGCCCGGTGAGCCACTGATGAACGCTGGGTGCGGCTTTGCAACAAATCGCGTCTGCGTCGACGGCTACATTGACCAGTCAGAATGAAGTTGATCTTGACTTTCTTTTCCTTGGCTAGCGAGTCGACTTCAATTTTTCTCCACTCGTCTTTTACGTCAGCATCGGAGAAGTAATAGATAATGCTCTCGGGTAAGCAGTGGAGTAGAGCCTGGTAAAGACCCGTCATGCCTAGCTCTGGGCAATCCCCTCCACCCTTAATGGTTAAATTGTTAATTGCTTTGATTGCTTCTTCTGCGTCGCTAGTCACCGTTACAGGTCCCACGTCTTAAGTAAACGAGAAAAAAAAGCACGACATAACGTTGTTTAGTACAAAGGCGTTATACTGGGGTTCTGCCAAATGACAAGAACGTTTTTGTAGGGGTACCCAAGGGAACAATATGCCTCTGAAGCCCTTTTTAAAGTTGTCAGATTTTAATTTTCGCTGGAAATTTTTCTGCTGTTCCGCACTCCGAGTAGCCTGCTACCCAGAAACTCTTTGGGCTCGCCACGCAATATTACCGAGTCCTCGTTGGAGAGAAAAATTGCGTGAAGAGTCCAAACAGAATCTGCGTAGGAGGCTAAACGGAGATACGTATTCCAGTTTCTCAGCAGGGTCTTTCATAACCTCATCTTCATGATCCTATCTCCTTGAAACTGACCCTGGATGCGGCTGGTCCCGTGGCACCCAGATTCTAGGAGGTAAAAGGACAATCTGTTGGGTGGGAGGGGTTACAGAGTGTTTCCATTGTTACTGTAACAACTGTAACAGATTCGTTACGTGTCACATTCTCGCGCGAGCAAAAAAACTACTATTAATCAGACTCGCAACCAGTCGTCATTTATTTATTTCTGGTGAAGCGATCAAGTTCGCAAAGGCTTTTGGGAAGGAAAAATGAAAAAGGTGACAAAAACTTATAACCTTTGTAGACTGGTTTTATCTTTACTTTATTTATTTTGTTTTGTTTTCATGGCGTCATCTTGTATACGTCATTTCATCCACTCCTTTTAGTTTGGAAATCACGGTGTTACGACATCCACCATTATTTAATATTGTAATTTCATTTTTATAATTTAGTAACATCTAAACCTGAGGAAGGCTGGTCTGGCCAGCCGAAATATTGTTGTCTCAGCCTTGCAGTTCTTGCAGTAGTCCTTGACTTCATCGTTGAGCTACAGAAAGCCATGATTTTTCTCACATTCAGCGAAGATTCCCCCGTGGTTAAATTATGTATTTGCTAACAAGTGCGTACTTTCCGTTTGAAAGCGTTACTCGTTTTGTTGATATAGTTAATTTTGGAGAAGGCAAGACAACTTGAACCGGGATATTCAAGTTATTTGTAATACAAGCATCCACGATCGAACAATACCCTCGTTCAAAATGATTTTTTCAGCAGTTGTCATTGCCAATAGGGCAAGACAACTTGTTTACTACCTGATACCTACTTGGATCGCTAAACGGCGAAAGGATGTAAGTGAAGGTGGCTTCTTTCTTCCTCAAAGTTTTACGAACAAAGCTGATGGACAAGTTCTTCACGTCATTGAGTTCATCTAATGCCAAAACAGATGGGAAGAAATTTACCTTATTATGCTATAGTAGAAGCAATGGGTGAAGGGATCTTTCCGGGATCATTTTAACTCTGATCCCAGGAGGGGAGGGGGTGTTGACATAGCCAACTATAATAGTAAAATGATTAAGAGCAGCTTCGTCTAAATATCAACTAGACTTGGAAATAGCGAAAAAATCGAATTTCTTCAAACTCGCCCAGAATGAAGCCCTACGGGTACTAGT